CACAAGCTGGAAGCTTCTGAAGAAAGAGTCATGCGTCGCAATGAAACATCAAGACGAGACCTATCGTTTCCTCATGCGGTGGTCCAACAGATGCAATCAGCTGGTTCTTGCAGCACATGCTGGCACCGCTACTCAACTACGTACCAGCTCATCTGAAGAACGCAGACCATTTCCTGAATAACTTGCGGGGAACGACCATTCCTATCGATCCCAGAACATCATATCAAAGTTTCGATGTGTCTGCGTTGTACACAAACGTGGATACAAGGATTGCCGTGGAAGCGTGCATAAATCTTCTACGACAACATCAGAACAGTTGTCAACTTTACGGACTGTCCATCAACGATATCGAAGAACTGCTGATAAATGTTGTGAAATTCAACATGTTTCGTTTCCGCAACAACATTTATATGCAAACGCGTGGATTAGCAATGGGCAGTCGAATTGCACCGCTTCTCGCAATCCTATTCATGGATCGTTTGGAAAGGCGTTCGCTATCATCGGGATTGCTGTTCTACGGCCGTTACATAGACGACATATTTGTCGTTGCGAAGTCCAGAACAGCATTACGTCAAACCTTCTTGAAGCTGAACTCAGTGCACTCAACCATTGCACTGACTGTCGAGGAACCTGAACACGATGGTTTCCTACCGTTCTTGAATACAAAGTGAAACTGTCGGAAGGAAATATATTTTCCATGTGGCATAAGAAACCTGCTTCGAAGAACATCCTGATCCACTCGAGAAGCTGCCACCCTCTTTTCATGAAGAGGAATATCGTTCAGAATGCCTTGACAACAGCTCGGAGGTTGACGTCCACAAATGTTCCTGTAGTGATGGATACCGTGACGCGTATACTTCTCGAAAACGGCTATGGAAGCAGACGCGTAAATTGTTGGCGCCCATATCAGGCACCAGGAGGCGTTCCACTGATAATTCCTTTTCTCTCAGACTCCTTCGCGAAGGATGTCAATCGAGTTGTAAGGAATTCAGGGATGCCGATCCGCTTGATATTTCGACCGCCGCCAACGCTACGTCGTCTTCTTACGTCGTCACGAGTATACGAAGACCAATGTGGCCGCGAAAACTGTCTTTACTGCCAGGAGGAACGAAAGATTTGCCTTTTGAAGAACACCGTGTACGAAGTGGAGTGTGCGTCATGTGCGGATTTCTACATTGGAGAAACTGGACGACCACTCTACAAAAGGCTCGATGAACACCTAAGGGCTCTCCGGAACCCGGCCAGCTATCCGGATAACCCTTTCTCGAGGCATCGTTCCTCGCGCCACACGAATGAACGTGCACCTGAACTCAAGGTGCGCGTGATCTACAGGAACATAAGTGACCCGGTGGAGAGGAAAATAAAAGAAGCGCTGGAAATTCGAAGGAGGAATCCACCGATCAACAACAGGGAGGAGCTAAGAAGGACAATGGAAATGATTGCTGCACAATGATGAGACATAAGCGGTGATACGTGACATATGACATATAGCAGTGTATCAAGCTCATGCCAATCTTAACTCGCTGGCTTCACCAAACTAGCGTGCGCATTTCTAAGGAAAGGACAGGCTGGGACGGTGAGGTCGATTGTTACGTATTAGCTGTTTGCCAGCACATCCAGAGACCGATGCTTTGCAGCATATCTCCCGCGATACTGCCGCACCCACCCGCCCCGGACCGACCCTCCCTCCCACAAGAATCCGGTCAGTTATTTGTTGATTGTTTCCCCTTGGAATTCCTTGCCTGCGTTTGTAAAGTTAGATGGTGTTGGTGTAAGCTTTGAATGTGAATAATTCGTAAGACCGTGAAGAAGGGCTTAAGCCCAAACGTCTCTATGGCAATAAACACTGGCGACTGAGTTTCATTTTATCAATCACAAAGAATACTGTCGCAATTGGGGTTAAAATTCCGTGACGCGCGTGGCAGTACACATGGTATGTCATACATTTTTCGGTTGGCGGGGCACTTGTCAACCAGACATGCTCCCTGCCAGGGTCCAGGTCTTTCTCTATGACTCTGCTAGCCAGAAGGAGGAGGTAAAAGAGGAGGGAACAGAGAAGGAAGGAAGGAAAAGAAAAAAGGAGGAAGGGAAAAGGAAGGAGAAGAGAAGTTTCGCAACTGACAAGTGCCCTGAGACGCTTGTGAGAAAAAAAATAGCAGCGAAATGCCACTGTCGCAATAACACAACCATCGCGGCGCGCCAGACGGTATTTTCACTGGTCGCGCGCGATACCAGCACGTACCCCTAAAAGAAATAGGGAATGGTGCACGGTTGGTCATTAGGTTTGGCAAGCGTCACCCACTCAAATTCCACTTAAAACCGCATTGGGTTTTGGATGTATGCCGGCCTTTGTAGTGAACTATGCAAACTGTCCAGTTGCGAAGAAGAAAGTTTTTCACAAGAAGCTGAGTTTCGGGTAAAGGTCTTGTCCCAAGCGGGACTCGCACCCGCACCATCTCACCTTTTCCGGGCGATGCGTTACCCTCTTAAGCTTTTGTGCGATAGCCTTCAGCCTCGTTGTTCAAAGGCGACATCGGTTGGCTGGCTGGCTCATCACATTGACGTGTGTGCTGTGAGGCTATGGCACAAAAGACACTGAGCTGGGAGGGTTAAAGCGGCTCTAGGCCCGCTGACCGGGATAACTGGTAGCGCACTCTCCCGGAAGGCGTAAGATGCTGGTCCGAGTTTCGCCTGGGGTCAAGACTTGTACCCATAACTTCAGAGGCCGAACTGCGGCTCTAAACAACAGTCACAAGCAAAAGAGCCTAATGAAATGATTTATGTAATATGAAGCAGAATTCACTAGCTGGGCAGACTTGTCTTGGATGAAGCTCAGTAGTCTTACGTTGCGCCACGCGATGGCGCGCGTACGGCATTCAACAACCGTATTCCTTTACGGATATATGGCCTTCCTAGATATCCCGGGACGCCGCGGTTGTGGGCTTAGAGCCTGGCCTGCTACGCTGCGGCCCTATCCTGAGGGTTGCTCTCACGACTCGTTAGGGACACGCTACTGAAAAAAGGTTATAGTGAACAGACACAGTGCCTTCGTTCCTCATTCCCAAGTGCGAAAGTGGTGGAACTTCTGTGATTACAGACAATGACTACTTTGTACAAGAATGGGTTTCAAGGTAATCGGGAATGTGTTGTTAGGGTAGCAGTGCTGGGCCATTACCCAATCTACTTGAGTAAGATGTGCTACGTAATTGATGCTCAAAATTACTGATACTGGTACTCACCTCTTCATCGACATCCATCATCACTGTACTTCCTCCGAATCCTGGATGCCCAACGAGCCATCGTTTCTAAAATAAGGGCACATAGTAATCAATAGTAAAATGGGTCTGTCCAGATGATCTGAAGTAGCAAGTTCCCTCTGAATTTTGCGATTAGTGGGAAGTCATAAACTCCGTAATGATAATAGTTTCGCCTATCAATGGGACTTACCCCAGTTGTTGGATGTCGCTCGTACAGGAAACCGTAGCCTTTTGGCAGTGGTGTCATCACAATCTCGTCCAAGCCGGAGGCGATTTGAGGGTTCTTGAACTGCTGGACGAGCTCCTGTGAGAAGATGTTTTGGATCCCACTCTCTTGAGTCTCTCATTCTCCCATCAGAAGCGCTAACCTTGCTGAACAACTCCCCACTAAGCATAAGTGAGAACAGGCGAGCAAGATCTCGAGCTTTTGTGATTCCCAGAGCTGCCACTTGCTCCATTCCGTGCAAGCTCCACTTGCTCCATTGACGTGCAAACTAACTCCGGATCGTTGAAAGTGTTCACATCCTCAAATGGTTTCTACGCGTTGCCGTACAATAAGTGTAAAGAAAATCCTATTTTGAAAGAAATCTAGGTGAAATGGAGAAATGCAGCGCTATATCTGGTCTATAGCCTACCCCTTGCTCTCATTTGCATCTAAACACTACGCTGTCTAACTTGGCTTTTGTGTGCGTCCCCTTTTTTCACTCTTTCTTGCCCCTTTGTTCCCCGTCATAATGAACTGATTCTATTAGCTACTGCTGTTCCACTTACAATCAAGTTACTGTTTAGCAAAGAAATCTTTCACTGAAAATTTTACCTGCTCTAGTTTGAACCACTGCGGGTTTTCGCGAACTTTTCCTTGCGATTGAAGTTGGAGGTCGGAGATGGAGTATGCCCAGAGGAC